TGCTTGTCTACTAAAATGCTGGTGTTTGAGAGTTTTCAACTTATGTCTATTTTCTCTATGAAATCAAAGTAACTTTCATAGAATTAATATACAGAAATGAAACTCCACTGCGAGTGATGGTGGCAAAGGGTATAACTTTGTATGCAAGGTTATGAGATGTGTTTTTGTTTACCAAGGGGAAAAAAGAATAGTTAGGTCCTAAAGTAAAATGGCTGTTCCAGAATGAGAAAGAGAATTATGAAGGACAAAACCTGAATGGGTACAGAAAGTTATGTAAGATTTGGAAAAAGTAAATTTTATTTGCCTTAGATTACAGTATGTCTGGAAAATAAGTCTGAAAAGCTATGATATGTGTTAAAATCCTTGCAAAGTCTGCTCCATTTTGATGGGCTTGTTTCGTTAGTTTACTGTTTACTGCTTTCACCTACAAAATGAAGGGTTATTCTTTTTGTCTAATCTGCCTAGATTGCAAAGATTCTGTGGCTTAACAGAATAACTTTATATGCTTTATGTTGACTTTAAGTACTTGATGACTTATGTAAGAGCTCAGGTTCTTCACAGTTATGCTAACCTCTATGTTTATAAGTTTAATTGTCACTTTGACATGAGCAGTCAAATACTGTTTCTCAGGCACATGTGATTCTATTTCCTAAATGTTCAAATCTATTGAAAATGTTCTATTTTTGCCTCCCAGAAATCAAATCCTAAATGTAAAATATTCAGCGTATCTTTGCATCTAAAACTGTCTTTGTGATCTTCCACAGGCCCTCTGGGGAATCTCAAAGATGTGTGCTTCCAACTTTGTAAAACGAGAAGTGCTAGAAACAATTAGATTTATTTGATATGTTACTATTGATGAGCTACATTGGAAGAGCTGTCAAGTCAGAAGAGATGCTTAACCATCCTGAGGTTAAATCTGTATGGCTAAAATGTTATTAATGTAAGTATTTCACAAATTGTATGCTATATGCTAAGTATAGAGATTTGTCAATACCCTCACTGTCTATGATAGGTTTTATCTATCTGATCTCTGGTGCTGCTTTGCCTGATATCAGAAAATGGTATAGGTTATCAGTCACAATTTCAGTTAATTTAAAAAACATTAACTTGGCTGCATCTTTACTTCTTTAGTTTAGATCTTTTATCTTCTAGGCCACTATATGTCAATAGGAATCCATACTGCATATCTATGGAGTTTTATTAATATACAGATGTTTAGGACCTACCCTAGACTTATTGGATATTTTTACTTGATATATTTTTTGACATATTCTTACTATATGTTTGGTATAGTCATGGTATATTATGTCTCAGGATTACTTTGTCTTAAGATTTTTTTCTCTGCAAAGAGTATGTTCATCTATTTTCATAAATTAGATGAACAGTCACTGTCTTCTTTGAAAACAGGCTTACCTAATTGTGTACAGATATTTTGCCTGTAACATTTTTTGGAATGCCTTTAAATTGCATTATTCTTGTTATTAACTCCTATCATTTATTTCACTTTTGAAATTTATCTGTAATGTTAACTACATCCATTTTAAGTCTTTAATCATTTACGGAAAGATTGTTAAATTTTACTCTACTGCTTCCCTGACAGTTCTTGCAAATAGCTACAGGCAGAGAGCTTTATCTTCAACAATGAAAGACTGTCTCAAAGCCCTGTGAAGAATATGTATAGGCTTCCGATGGCATCACTTAAACAATTATAAGACCGTATCAGTGGACTCAGTCAAAATTTCCAGAACTCTAGTTAAGAAGCAAATACATTTATGATCCAGTGAAACAAGAATTAGTTATACAGGACTGAAAAAATTGATGAGAGATAATTCTATGGTTTGGAGAATATTTTTGGAGAATATTTTATGGAGAATGGAATATTTTATGGAATACTTATGGAATTTTATGGAATATTTTATGGAGAATATTTTTGATATTGTTTTAACGTTCTATTTTCTGGACATATAGGAAATTCTTTCCCTCTCCTCTTGAGGCATCTATAACTCATTACAATTTAACAGAAACAATGGTTATGCAACCAAGGCCTTACCTGGAATGACATATTTGAGAATGATGCTCATTTACTCAGGTATGACCAGACATTTGTAAGGAACTAAAGTTGACTTTATGGAGGCAATGCTTCCAAAGTCCTTCCATGGCACTAGGGCTTACAAAGTTCCCTAAGGTATTAAGGAACCTTAGGATATTTTGAGGACGCTGAGAAGGGAGGAATTCGCCCAATTTAATAGGTACTGCAGGAGAAATCTGGTGGCAAGTTATTGGCTTGGCTTCTTAGTCTTAAAACGGTTTGAAAAACCCAATTTGAGATTCCTTATGAAATTTTCAGCAAAGCAAACGTAAGAAAGCTTATGTGGTAAAGAGTAGAATATGCCATTCCAAAATATGCCTCTTTGGCAATAAGGATTATCTTGAGCTGGTTATTTTTAAGAAACAGTAAACAGGAAATCTCTGAAAACAGAGAAATTGCCCTTTTCTGAGGGACATTTACATTTATAAGGCAATTTCCATTTGTAAGGTGTCTCCTTCTCTGTAGCAGGAGGAGAAAGGATGACTAAAACTCTAGAAACTTATCAATGGAGGAGGCTTGAACTTAAATCTGCATAACAACCATACCCTTGTTTATGATACTTTGCCTGATAACCTCCCATAACTCACTCCCCACCCAAAATATCTCTTGTCTTTAACTGAAGACCGTATTTAAGGACTAAGAATTAAATTGACATGAGATAGATGAACAGGAGAAAATCAAACAAAAGTTTCATAACATATATACATGGGAGAGACCCAGCAGAAGTAAGTAATTAAAAACTGCCAAAGCCCTCACCTTAAATACCATCCTCAGCTAAAGACAAAAGAGAACACTGAGGATAGGGAAAGTCAATTCTGTGAGATCACCAGGAAAAAAACAGTAAACAAGGGTGAGATTGTTATGCAGATTTAAGTCATTGCCTTCTCCACTGATAAGAGTTTCCGGAGATAAGGTCATCCCCCTCTGTCAGGTACATCAGGGAGATACCCTTACAAATCGATATTTCCCTTATAAATGTAAATGCTTATTACAAAAGGGTAACTCCTACTTTCCTCCAAGTATGCAGTTTCTTAGAAAATAATCAGCTTAAAATAATATGCCAAAGAAACGTATTTTGGGGTGGCAAATTCTGCTCCCCTACAGAGTAAAATAAATCCTTTAACAAGCATTTTATATCTATATGAGAGTCATAATTCTTACTTTTGTTTTGAAAGTCGTCTTTTCTTGTTCGTTTTATTTTTTTGAAAGTTGTTTTTTTAATAATAGGTATATGGATGTGAGGTTGAGACCCTCATTACAAGGTTTAAATTAGGCGGAAATCCAGACCTTGCTGATGGTGTCCACTTCTGGGGTAATTCTACGTTCTGGGCTGCAACTCCAATTATCTCTTTATTTTCCTGAATCCAGAGCCTAACCTGTCTGCTTCCTTAGTTGCTTCCACCTTCTATTACTTCAGAGGTGGGTTTTCCTTCCCAAGAGACCACTACAGCAGTTTCAACGCTTATTCTCTGTCTTCCTATTTCTGAAGGAAACCCTCCTCTATTTTGAGAATTTCAAAGAGTTTTTACAGCTAACAGCAATGAGAAAAACACAGGGGGTAAAATGACATACCAGAGGAAATTCACAAAGTTTCAAATCAGCTCAAATGGGGGTGGGGGGAGCCATTCTGGTCCTATTAGCATGTAAATGGTAGTAGATGCTAGCTTGCTATGGAAATTTTCCACAGCTTCTACCTCCTCTCTCAAGGATGCTTCCTTCTCCTCCCCCACCCTTTGACTCCAACGTGAAACAAGAAAAGACAAAAGCCACATGGGTGAGAAAGGTGGGTCTTTTCTGTACACAAAGAACTAAAATAAGGTTCATCTACATTTCAGAGGAAACCTCAGATAACCTTTCTTTGTAAAAAGAAGAGAGTTTGAAGAGTTCCTCTGGAATATATGCTGTGTTCAAAGTGGGACCTTTAGGATGAGGAGGATGAGGCTCTGGAGTTAAAACCCAAAGACATAGGGGCATTTGTAATTTACTTTGTGTATGTTGGGGGAGGGAGAAGTAAGAGGTGGGAAGCAGGGGGAAAAAGAAGCCATGGGAAAGCATTCAGTCTTTTTTTCTATCCCAATCCCCAGTTCACAGAACCAGCCTTCCACAGGAAGTGAGGAATGGTGAGAAGGGAGACCTAGGCAAAAAAGAGGAGCAGAGAGGTAGTTGCTGGAATTATCAATAGCAGGAAGAAGAAAACTTTTAGTCTTAGAGATGAGGGCATTCTTAGGTAAAAAGATGGACTTACACAATGCCTTATTTGATTAAGAAATTGAAAATAGGTGATTAACATGGGTTTTATGATGTAATATAGGTCTCTTTTAGCTATTTTATTTCACTATTATATGTAATGTAAGAGTTTACACTTATCCTTGATTGATATTGGGTAAGAGTGTCTGAAGAACAGAACTGCATTTCTTTTTTAAAAATTTTTATTTTTTGGTCAAGCAGTGCAGCTTGTGGGATCTTAGTTCCCCAACCAGGGATTGAACCCAGGCCCTTGGCAGTGAAAGTGCTGAGTCCTAACCACTGGACTACCAGGGAATTCCCCACATTTCTTAAGTAATAAAATGTGAACTTTTAAAAATTGGGTAAGTTTTCCTGTTCTTTTTAATATTCACCTAGAATATGTGTATAATGAATGTCTTGTATAGCTTGAAGTATTCTAGATTAGTGCTGTCCAATAGAAACAGAACGTGAACCATACATATGATTTTAAATTATCTAGGAGCAACATTTTTAAAAATGACTAAAAAGAAACAGGTACGCCTTTAATCATTTTTTTTCCTAGCCCAATACATATGTGAAATATTATCATTTTAATATGTAATCAATATAAAAATTAGATATTTAATGCTTTTTTATACTAAGTCGCTGAAATCCAATGTATATTTTACAGTTAACAGCACACCTCAATTCCAACTAAACACATTTCAAGTGTTACACAGCCACGTGTGCCTACCATACTGGACAGTGCACATCTAGATGACTGATTTTTTAAGATCTACCAGCAGCATAGTATCAGAAGAAACACTGGACTTGGAACCTAGAAACTTGGGCCCTATCAGCTGGGAGCTATGTGATGGATACTGGTCTTGTTTTATTAACTTCTCTAGGTCTCAGTATCCTTTAAAAAGAAAAGTTTAGAACAAATAGCATACAGCTTGGAAATAACTCTAAAGTTATGAAATAATCATCTTAAGTACACTGGAATATACTTTAGGGTACTAACTCTTAAACTAAGGATAAGATGCAAATTAACTTCACAGAAAAACGTTTATTGGTTGCATTTTACAAACACACTAAAATATAAGAAATTGCTAATCATTTTACTATAATTTTGTTTCTTCAGGTTTCTACTTAGAGGGAATTAACAGTTCTTCTAAAAGATACAACAAGTAGCCAAATTAATTTAAAGTGATTTAAGGAAAAGTTTAAAACATGATCTGGAGAATAATTTATAACATCACTAAATATACTGTTGAATTTACCAATTTTTATTGAGCATATTAAAAGATGAAGATGAGTGAGACTGGGTGTTTTCCCTGGTAGGTGCTTATAATTCAGTAAGCAGGGTAAAATATTACAGTTTGAGTAAGAGGACTATGCCTTATTAACTAATGATCCCCAGAACCTAGCCACCACTGCTGGCATATGACAGGGTACTCAACATATGTATGACTGAATGCAATACAAAAGAAGTAAAATACGATACCATACTATAAGAGCTGTAAGAAAGGAACAAATCATTGTGGAAGTTAAAAGGAAGAGAGGGCACATCTATTTGGAGGTGGGAGATGGAGGTGGGAAAGGGAAATAAGAAAAGGGATCAGGAAGGAGATAACATTTAAAATGTATTTTGAAGACTAGGTTGGAGCTCACAGGCAGGAAAAAAGAAGAGAAAGGGAACAGAATGAGGAAGAGGTTATAGAAGGAAGAAACTAAAGCAGGCTTGGGGATAAGGGCAGGAAGAAGAGCTGAGGCATAGTAATATAAAGTTAGGTTAGTACTTGAGTGATAATTCAAGTTCTTCACAATATAAGCACTAACTTATCAATTGAGAAAAGTGTATCTATTAAGCACAGGCCTTTTGAAGTGTCTGAATAAAGAATATTTTGGATTTATAAAAATGTCAGGGAATAAAGGGTCTCAGTATTGAGGGAATACATATAATTGTTTACATGAGGGGTCAGGCAATATTTTCTGTAAGTGGCCAAGTAGAAAATATTTTTAGACTTTGGGAGCCATAAGGTCTCTATTACAACTATTTAATTCTACTATTATAGCTGAAAAGAGGTCATAGACACTACATGAATGAACATACCTGTGTTCAAATAAAACTTACCCCCTTATAAGTATGTGGCCTTGTTAATGTTATAATATCTCTAAACCCTCAACTTCCTTGAACTGTAAAATGAGAATAACTGTTCATAGAGTTGTAGTAAGAATTTAAATTAGAATGAAAAGCACTTAGCATAGTGACTAGCTCATGACTTGGTGTTTATGAATGTTAGCTTTATGTTATGATGATACCCATTAACTAAGTCTGATATATAGGCATTAAAAATGTTTTCTAGAAAGCAGCGGAATCTGTAAATCTTGTTCTTCATTGTACTGATTCTCTACAGTACAATCTTTTGTGTCAAGGGAAGTGATGGTCATGACTTTTTTAGAAAACCATTTAAAAGTAAGGGAAATTAGAAAACGAAGGAGGAGATGAAAGGTAGATTGTTTATTTTCAGAACAGTTCCCTTCGTGTACAAATTATCTTTTTTTTGTATGGTAGTTTTACCCTAACCTCCTATTTCTAGACATCATTGAAAGGCAAACTAATGCTCATAACTGGATTGCCAGATTTTACTATCAACACAGAATTATCTATATCAACAAAAACAAATGTTTCCTTCTAGAGCATATGATGAATAAGGCACTGGGTTAGACAGTAAAGAAATAAAGATATATATGAGCTGGTTCATGGGCTTGACATTCTTAAGTCTATAGTTTTTTATCATTACTCAATCCAACTTATTTTAAAGATGAAGAAACATGTTTATCAATGGCTATAGTGAAACATGACTTGCTCAAGCTCTCCTGTGGGGCAATTACAGAATGAGAATCCTAGTTTCTAGCCTCTTAATCCAATAGTCTTTCATGTTAGTGCTTCTGAACCATTTCTTTTCATTGCCTTAACCTACCAGAACACTGGTTCACGTAACCTTCAATAGCACTAGCTTACAACAAAATGATGTTTGGTGTGGAGGGGAAGCGGGCATCCGTTTGTATGCCCCCCACCACTATGCACCTACCCAAGAGAGCAAAATCAGAATAGAGGGCATGCTGGGCAATTTGGAAAAGATCCTCCACCCCATGATTCTGTACCATTTCAATGGTGTTTGTTTAGACTTGCTGCCACGATAGCTGCAGAAACAGGACTTATCTATGCTAAATGTTAAATAAATGAGGAATGAGGAATAATCATTGAGGACTTCCCCAGGAGATGAAAGTGGCTTCAAATTCTTGAGTAGAGGAAAATATTTTGGAAAGTCAATAATTTCACCACATAGCAAGTGTCCATTATATAGGTTTTGTGTTATGTTGCTTTGTTTCCAGTATGTACCTAACTCTTGCTACATTGTAGGTTAGAATTCCTGATCCACTGTTTTTCTGTTTTTGTTTTTTTAATTTTATCTTGGCCGTGCCACATGGCTTGTGGGATCTCAGCTCCCCAACCAGAGACTGAACCCGAGCCACAGCAGTGAAAGTGCCAAATCCTAACCACTCAACCACCAGGGAACTCGCCTGATCCACTGGTAGCTTACAGTTTTATAAGGTAATCCTCTAAACTTTTTCAAGTTTTACTGTCTATTGACTTTGATAATGTTCCTCAATTTTCATTCTGGTGTTGGGGGTAGAAATCAGAATGGAAAGGCACTTGATTTTAACTTGGTTAGTTCACACCTGCAAATCACATGGCAACTATAGTCAGGCAGTCCTTGTGCCCACTCAGAGACTAGTCAGCAATAAGAGTTTAATTAGATTTCCTGTCATTAAACTCACAGTACGGACATTTTTGAAGTGTCAGACATGAAATACAGTAGGCTGCAAAGATGAAAAACATTAATAGGACTGTTGCTGATAAGCTGTATTACAGTTTAATTTAAAAAAGAGCAATGTAAATGTTAAATCATAATAATATTTTAAAGACTATAACCACTTTGAGAACAAATATGTAATTCAGAAATTTGGAAATTGCCAAGAAAGTATTAATAAGGAATTATACTTAAATCTTTTTTTTAATTTCAAAAGTCTACTACTAATAAAATAAACTGATATACTATTACATACTTACTTAACTATGTTCTAAGCACTTTAATTAACCCATTCAATCCTCACAACAATTTCCATTGTACTTCCATTTCCTCCTGTACAGAGTCAAACAGCGATCCGACATGGATTCAAACCCAGGCAGTTTGGCTTTAGACTCTTAATCATAAGGTATATAATATGAACTTAGGATGAAAAGAAAATATTTCAGATAATAATAACCTTTACAGTGCTTTCACGTTTATATCAAATGTTAGATAATGCTAATAATCTTTTACACTTATATATTGCCTTATAGTAATAACATACTTAAATGGACAGTATGTCATTCAAACAGATAGCTAAATTAGATACAAATTCAATTTGACCAACTAGGACAACAGAATGCATTGGATACAAATGCACAGTACTGCATTAAAATCCAAGAGAAACAGCAGAAATAACAGATGGAGAGGGAGGTAAGGAACAGGACTAATAGTTACCAAACGTCTATTATGTATCAAGTACTGGATAAGTACACCTTAAGATAAGTACCATTATTTCAACAACGAAGAAACATTAAGTCCATGATGAAATTAATCCAAAATCATGTAGCTTCACGTGGCATAATAAGGATTAGAATTCAGAATGGTCTGCCTCCAAAGCCTCCTTTCACTACTGTGTTGCATGGCTTAACAGCAGGAAATGAGAAAAAAAGACATTCTGTATTTTTGCTGAAAGCAAGACCAAAATAGGCCAATAGTTTTAGGTGGCTACAGTAGTTTTGAGGTATAATATACTCTGAGGCTGTATTAATATAATTGTAGACATGAGATTATGCTTGGTACTAGGCCCAACATATCAATAAAAGTGGCAAATGTAGACATTTAGGCTTACATGAAATTTTAGAGGAAGTATGATAATGATAACTATTTTCAAATAATTGAAAAGCTATTAGGTAAAGTAACAGACATGAGATTTTGGCTCAAAGTAAGAAAATAATAACCAGATGTCAAAACTGGAATAGGCTGCCTTATGAGATGTTTAATTGGAGTTTAAAAACCTAATGTTAATGATTTTGCAGAGGAATTCATAAGCAAGATAGGAATTAGACAAGTAGCTTTATTCCCTGTCTCTACTTCAAATTTAGAGCAGTTTGACTTATATGTTACATGTGCATTTTACTTTTAGATTTTTTTTTGGAGGGGTATGTTCTCATGTTGTAAAAACCACTGGATTAGATACATTGAGAGATTTCATTCAACTTAATGCCAGTTAGGGATATAGAATCTGATTACGGTTAAGAACATAAAATCATATCGATTTTATTTGTCAAAGCAAAACAAAAACAAACCAAACTTACCATTTTTTTCTGCAAAGGCAATTGCGTCGTCTTTAGTACTGAAAGCTAGAACCATGTTGGACAATGGATCAGCCCTGTAAGAAACAATTTTTTCCAGGATTTAACATTAACCTCTGGCTGAAAATTACTTATTTTAAATCATTTCTTTAAAACTGTTAAATGTTTGAATATGTTTTTCTGTGTTAAATTTGATTTTTCTAACATGTATTGTCAAATTAAAAAATTTAAAATTGCAGAGATATTCAGCAATCTTTAATCTCAAATAAAATCATTTATTAAACTTAAAAAAAAACTAGAGGAGAATGAGAATCCTCTTAGGTTTTTCTTTAAACCTTACAAATTCATCAAAATGAGAAGGAACGTGGCCAAAATGGTGGACTAGGAAGACCCTGAGCTCACCTCTCACACACACCAAAATTACAACTATTTACACAGCAACTATTGAGAAAAACTGGAATCTAGTGGAAAAGATCTTCTATAACTAAAGATATAAAGAAGGAACCACAATGAGACAGGTGGGAGAGGGAGACCCCTACCCACGGTGGGCTACCCACAAAGAGAAGGATAATTACAATTGTAGAGGTTCTGCCCAAGGAGCAATGGGTCTAAGCCCCACATTGGGCTCCCAAGCCCAGGGATCCTGCACTGGGAAGACGAGCCCCCAGAACGTTTGGCTTTAGCCAATGGGCCTTACTTTCAGGAGACCCAGAGGGCTGTGGGAAGTAGAGACTAACTCTTAAAAGGTACACACAAAATCTCACATACTTTGGGACCCAGGGCAGAAGAGTAATTTGAAGGCAGCCTGGGTCAGACTCACCTGCTTATCTTTGAGAGTCTCCAGAAGAGGCAGGAGGCAACTGTAGCCTGGAGACGTAGAAAACTGGCAACAGCCATTTTGGGGAGCTCATTCTACCACGAGGACAGTGGCAAGTGCCATTTTGGAACACTCCCAATAGCTTATTACCACTGGAACCCACAAGGCTGTAGGCACCAATTGTGAGGTGCCTCAGGCCAAGCAATTAATAGGGTGGGAACACAGCTCTACCCACCAGCAGGCAGGCTGCCTTAAGAACTTCTGAGCCCATAGTGACCCGGGGACACAGCCCTCTCCACCAGAGGGCCCTGCAGCCAGAGACCCCAGGACCACAGCAGACCCTCAGCCTGCCATAGAGGACCCAGCCTACCCACCAACAGGCAGCAGCCCTGGGACCCCATAGGCCCTGGCTCTGTGGACCATCAGGACACCACCAGCTCTGAGACACCATGGATCGTGGATCCCTCACAATCCCTCACCTCCCTCAGCTGTCCTGGTACCACCCAGCAGTGGACAACAGCAGTTCAGCAGGAACCCCCAGGATTCTGTAGCCAGAGATCCCAGGACCCAGCTCTGCCTACCAGTGAGCCGGGACTAGCCCCAGAACCCCTTGGCCTTGGCGCCACTAACCATTCGTTTGACACCAGCTCTAGGACCCCTGGACCCTGCAGCAAGAGACCACAGGACTTAGCTTCATGCAACAGTGGGAGGAAATTAGCCCCGGAACCAGACCCTGTCCACCAGCAGGTGGTCCCAATCCCAGGACCACTGCAGCCCCACAGCCTGCTTTATCCAGGATCCAGCCAACACACCAGGAGGTTGACACCAGAACTGAGACATCTTGGACTACTAAACCAGCTGACCTGGAGTCCAGCGCCACGCACCATGAGGCCAGCACTAGTGTTAGGACACCACAGAACCCACAGCCAGCCATGTCAGGAAATGACCCCACCGACCAGTAGGCTGACACTAGATCCAGGAACCCAGCTCTGCCAACTAGGGAGCCAGCACTAGCCCTGTGACACCCTGGGTTTCCGCAGCCAGCCTCCTCCACACGAGGTAAGGCCTAGCAAACAACTGGACCAGGGGCCAGCCACATCTATCTGACTGCCCACAGTAGTCAACCTGCCACAACAGAAGGACCCATGCAGCCCACACAAGCGGCACCCTTAGCGCATATAGCTTTGGTGACAAGAGGGGAGTGTGCTGCTAGGACACATAGGACATCTACAAAAGGCCACTTCTTGAATGTTGGGAAACAAAACTAACCTGCCAGATACATAGAAATAAAAAGGGCAAATCAGGCAAAATGAGGCAAGAAAATCAGTTCCAAACGAGGGAACAAGATAAAACACCAGAAGAACTAAGTGAAGTGGAGATACCCAATAAAGTGTTAAAAGTAACGATTATAAAGATCAAAAAAATCAGGATAAAAATGGATGACACAGTGAGAAGTTTAACAAAAAGAAGATATAAAGAAGAACCAAACACAGTTGAAGAATACAGTGACTGAAATAAAAAGTATACTAGAAGGAATCAACAGATGATGCAGAGTAATGAGTAAGTGAGCTGGAAGTCAGGAGTAGTGGAAGTCACTGAAGCTAAAAAAAAAAAGAATAAAAAGAAATGAGGACAGATTAAGAGACCTCCGGGACAACATCAAGCATACGAACATTTGCATTATAGGGGTCCTAGAAGAAGAAAGGAGAAAAAAAGGGGTAGAGAACATATTTGAAAACATAATAGTTGAAATCTCTAACCTGGGAAAAAGAAACAGACATCCAGGTCCAGGAAGCACAGCAAGTCCCAAATAAGATCACCCCAAAGAGGACCAGAGCAAGACACATTGTAATTAAAATGGCAATAATTACAGATAGAGAATATTAAAATTTAAGAGGGAAAAGCAACAAGTTACTTACAAGGGAACTCCCCATAAGGCTACCAGCTGACTTCTCAGTGGTAACTCTGCAGGCCAGAAGGGAATGGCATAATATATTTTAAATAATACAAGTAAAAAAACCTACAAACAAAAATACTCTACCCAGCAAGGCTTTCATTCAGATTTGGTGGAGAAATCAAAAGTTTTACAGACAAGCAAAAGCTAAGAGATTAGCACCACCAAATCAGCTTTACAGGAAATGTTAAAGGTAGTAAATCAACCATGTAGAAAGCTACTTGGAAGATTAAAAGTCAAAAGTAGTAAAATCATATATGTCCTCATAAGCAGTTAAAAGATACACATAACAAAGATGTAAAATATGATGTCAAAAACTGTATTCTTAGGGGGAAGGGAGTAAAAATACAGGGATGTTAAAATGAGTTTGAAATTAAGAAAGCAACTTAAAATAAT